CCCCACACTGTTTGAACATCGTATCAATTCCCATAGGTGTGCACACTTCTAAAGTATAGTCAAGAGCTAAAGGTTCAACATTTAAATGACATGTAAAATGAGGTGAAACAAAAGAATGAGAAGAACCAGGGTCTATCAGAACTCTAGCATCTTCCATCTATCAGCCTTTTCTACTCCTCTATTCCCCGAAAATGCTATTGGTACAACTCTCTTGAGTCTTTCAATCATTCCACCATCCACATGATCTAGGGCAGGGACAGTCGGGCTTAGCATACAATCTTTCACGACTTAAGTAATGGCCCCGAACGTCCTAAAGAATTCCCCGAAGACCTCAATGTTCTCATCATTCTTGTTCGAATTGCTACCACGAGTCCTTGACGTCTTGACCTAATACAAGAATATCCAAACACTAGTTATTAATATATCACTATTTAATCTAAGGATCCTTCTGAGATTCTAGTCCAAGAATCATATCCTGGTGCTCTGATACCATATTGTCACACTCCAAGTTTTATAACACTAAAATTCCTGAGAGGTGACAGTCTATTCTTAAGGAACAAAATAAATTTGAAATTTTTATTATATATTGCTCCAAACAAATTTTCCATTCAAAAGCTTTTTGTACAAAGTCTATTTCACAAATTATAATAACATAAAGATCTAAATATACACAACTTTGATAGATAAAATTTACAAAAGCGAATTTATCTATGACTACAAACTTCTTTCAAATTACTCCTGTTGTATATACGAACAATACGACTGTGATTACTCGGAAAAAAAATTCAATATAGCTTGATGAGTTTGGCTACTCAGTAAGTGATCATCATTATATTTAATTATCATGGTTGGAAAGTGTAAATAATTTCTAAATGAATGCATATTAAGAAAAATTTTGACGTATTGATTTCATGCATTCTAATACATGTTATTAGACATATTCATTTATAATCTTACACATATCCTATATTCCTTATTGGACAAAGAAAATAAGCATGATACATAAACCATATGCACATGATTCATATCAAGATCAACAATAATCTAAATTTAGTAGTTTAAAACATTACTACAATTAAGTATCAAATATGATTAAAACAAACATTCAAAACAATATAAGTCCCGCAGTAGAAGCACTAACCCTTGAGTCTATCATCCCACAAGAAGAAGCACCACCAACGGGTAAATCCAATGTGTCGTGCCTCACACACACACACAACCCTAGTGCACTTTCGAGCTTTTGATAAAAATTGGCCTTGCAAGATAAGGCCCTCTCATGTGCCCTTATGGCAAGAGAGGGGTCCCAATGAGAAGTGCTTCACATAAGTTTTGGGGGTGCGACCTCCCAAATACACACACTCCTAACTCTCATCTTGTCATAGAGAGTTAGGTTTAAAAACACAATTGCCAGCACAATTAGCTCATCAGATAATAATAGAGGCATGTCTCTATGCACCCATATCTTATCGAAAGCATGTTACCATGCACACATATCTTATCAGTAACATGTAACCATGCACACATGTCTTATCAGAAGGATTTCTCATATGTAATCACAAGAAACATTAACATGTCTATGCTATACATATAGGCACAAGGGACATCACTATGTCATATTATCATGCATATAAATTTAAAAGACATTATTATGTCAACTGCAGGTCATATATCAATGTAGTAGATATTAGGAAACAATAACATCGTTTTTTCAAAATATCTTTGAATTTATTAACATGAATTTACATAAAGCAATTTAGAGCAATCACTTGCACACAACACCTGCATAGAACACTTGTACATAACACTTGCACATAACACATAACACTTGCACATAACACATAACACTTTCACATAATACATAACACTTGCATATAACCTTTACAGTGTCTAAATTTGTTCTGGAAATATTACAATTAAATGCAAAAATATCTCTAAGAATATTGTAGAAATTTCAGTTTTTCCAAAAATGATTTTACAAAAAAATGAAGTCACTTACGTATATGTCACTCTGAGGTGGATATGTTATTATCATTGCAGAAGTAGAACTGGAATCAAGGGTGTTTAGCTAAAGGTATAAGAAGAGAGAGCAAATGAGTTTTATGAGAAAAGGAGCATAAAATTATGTTCATATAATAGAGCGAAAAATATTATAGAATTGTTTTTATGAGAACATTTTGATGACATTGTCATGATGAGAACATACTATAACATGTGTTGATAACATACTATAACATGTAATATAAACAAATTAAATAAAAAATTATAATGAATATTATAACATTAAACAGAGCAAATAATATGCATACAAACATTATATAAATGAAAATTTGATATTAAATTAAATAATATAATAATATAATGATGACATATATAGTAATACATATGTAAAAACCATTCATAACATTATCTTAAAAATTAACAAATTAGCTAATTGAACTCCATAATATAAAATTAAGTGTATCATATATAACTTAATAAGTCATGTGTAATAAATTAAAATTGATACACATAATATTGAAATTCTAAAATTTATTATTTATGTGAGAATATTATTAAAATAATATTTTTATTATAAGAAAGTAATGATGATATTATAAATGAAAAAAAATACTATTTTTATAAAAAATATCATTATGAGAGAATACTTCATAAGAATATTATTAAAATAATATTATTATTATGAGAAAGCAATGAACATATTATGACGGAGAGAGAGAGCTAGAGAGAAAGAAATAAAATAAATGATTGTAATAAGAGAGAGAAAGAGACTTACGAAGAGAGAGAGAGAGAGAGAGAGAGAGAGAGAGAGAGAGAGAGAGTAGTACGTTAGAGTAGACGTCTTACGAGTACGTACTTAGTACGTTAG